ATGAAGCCCAAGCCTTTTGCTTTCTCCACAGCTACATGGCATCTCACTCTGGACTCATTCTCTGAGTTCTCTTCCGGGTGTTCTCCCAGTCTGGTAGCCCTACCTATACTTCCTGCCTGGCTACATCTTGCCTGTCCTTTGGCCAAAACAGCTTTCTTCATCAACCAATAAGAGAAACATATATTCACAGCATACAGGAGGAAAGCCACCATCAGAGCTTGCAATACAAGAATGAAGATCTGCATTAGGAACCCACGTTTCCATGGGCATGTACTATTGGGGAGATAGAGACTTGGAAGATCTCCAGAGCTCCTTGGACAGCCAGTCAAGCAAAATTGTCAAGTTCCAATGAGAGACTGAGCCTCATAGAATAAAGTAGAGACTATCAAGGAAGAAACATGATATCTATCTCTTGCTTACACACACACACACGTAAGGAGTAAGGTTTTTCCTCCCACCACCTGGTCTTGTCCCGCTGCCGCGCCTGCCCCAATTAACACACTGAGACTCTGTATTTGATATAATTCTGTTGGCCAATTACTTGTTTCTTATCAGCTAGCTCTGTCTTAAGTATTAACCCATTTCTATTAATCTCCACAGGGTCCTATCTTACCGGAGAGAGAGGCCACCAGCGTTCTACCCTCTCCGTCTACTCTTTCCTCTTTCCTACTTGTCTCCTAGTCCCACCTATCTAGCTTTCCTATTGGCCAACAGTACTTTATTCATTAACCAGTATGAGAAACATAATTACAGAATGACATCTCCCATCACACACACACATACACACACACACACACACACACACACACACACACACACACACACCATGTGCACATACAACTACAAGCAAACACATATAAGAAATTGTGACTCAGATGGTGGTGGTGCATTCAGGAGGCAGAAGCAGTCAGATCTCTGTGAGGTTGAGGCCAACCTGGTCTACAGAGAGAGTTATAGGACAGCTAGAGATGTTACACGGAGAATTTCTTGAAAAACAAACAGACAAACAAAAAAACCAAAAATAAAACAAAAATAAAAAACAGAAAAAGTGAAACTTCAATTGTCCTGTATATTTTAAGTGGTAGATAAAGAGTTGTTTTATTTAATAAACATAGAAACTAGGAATTGATTCCATGTATGGAAAACGTAGTAATCTTTTAGTCTACTTCAAATCTACTTCAAATCTGTTCCCTGTTTTTCAGCAGGGGACATGCTGTCTTTGAATAAGACAAAAAAAAAAAAAAAAAAAATCTGTGGGTTAATGGGGATATAATAATATAGCTTAAAGTAGTCTATAAAAGTTACAGTTGTTTTGTTTTGTTCTTTGTCAAGATATATCATATTGAAACTTACATAGAATTAAAGGTTTAATGTATTTATTAATTTGAGGTATAGATTTTAAAAGTTTAAAAGCATTGATTGATAAGTCATGTTAAATAGCTCCAAAGATTGCTTAGGGCTAATCCTATTAGAGAACAGTTGTCTCTAATCTACCTCAGAGAAAACAAAGTGGGGTCTTTGGGATTCTTTTGAGGGCAGAAAGGGAATTTAGGGTTTGTTGTCAGTCACAGATGTATGGAATAAGATAATACACATTTTGGTAAGAAATGAAGCCTTGTGCCATAATGACAAAAGAATCTCATGTTTCTGAAGACTCAATGAGATTCCTTTGTATCTCTTGACATATTCTTCAGGTTTTATTAACACATTCTCCGAACATAATAGGATCAAAGATAAATTTTCTCTTACAATATTTTCTAGTACTTATAGATGAAAAGTGATAATTAGTTCTGCCTCTTTTCCTTCACATTCTGAATTTATATACAATTAAGAAAAATGACCATTTTGAGTTAGAAAGATAGATATAAAATTATTGATATTTCACCAATAAAGTTATTCAAAGGATAGAAACCTGACCTGTATAGAAGAATTGACATCCCTCAATCTGTAACTTACAGAGTTTGGATCTAGGGAATGGATAGCATAGACCTAGACATTAGTCCCTGTCTTGGCTTGGTTGTCACTGGAAAATTAAGAATCTAAGGAAAACAGCTTACTCATGAAAAAGACAGAAGAGGAGGCATAGAGTAACATGGTAACAAGTTAGTTACTCCAGTGATACACTGTGTCTTCATCTCTCAAGAAAATTCTAGAAAGTATGCATACTTTATGATTATCCTTCCCAAGAGTCAATGAAGACAGAATATTTAATGGTGAGGAAATTCTTCAAGGGAGAATTAATTCTGAGGCTTTACTGTGAGTGCCCAAGCAAAAGGATTGCCTGTGGTTTAGACAAAGGTTTAGACCTTAGGCTAAGAGACGAAGATACTGGTGACTAACGGTCAACTACAGGAAACAATGAAAAAGATGTGTTCAGAGACTGATGTCTACTACAGGCCCACAGTGCAGCAATGGCCTCTGAGCTGGACCCACCGCTTGCAGTAAGAAACAAAACAAGCATGACAGCTTTAAACTTCTTAACAGATGTGTTACAAAAGGAGAAAAGAAAGGCGAGTCAGATATGATTTGAGAATCATTTCTTGAGCAGTATAGGAGGATAGAGTAACAGAAGGGAACATCCCAGAGTCCCTTTAGGAGAGGGAAGTAAGTTTTACTCTGGGAAGGATTAATGTAAGAACATGAGGGGAGGAACCAATTGTTCATGGCTATAATTGGAATGTGAAATTTAGAATTTTGCATTAAATGTAATAATAATTGTGACACTGATAATAATGAAGTAAGAAGCATCCAAACAACAGAATTTTTTACATGTTAGAAAGAAGTTTTCATGATGAACAGACCCTAAAGTTTCTGTACACAGTTGGTCTTTTTATGTGGCTAGTCTGTTTCTGACTAGTCTATTCCAATCTCTTTCCTATAAGATCTTCCAGGAAGCATTATTCTGTTATCATGTCACAGAACAGAACAGAGAAGGAAATGGGGTGGTCAGTTTGACAGTAGGCTGTTTTGTGCTGGTGTTGAGAATGAGCAGGAGTGGTTTGTTAAAGGTAGCAAAGAAATGAGTAGAAAGTTCAGCAAGCAGAAAGGAGAACACATGCTGTTCCTTTTCTTTATGTGACTGGATACAACTACATGTTATATGGTATATTTGTCAATCCTTTATCTCATTGAAATAACTCTCATCTGCATGTCAATATTAATATTATTAATTATTAATATGAGCTCAAAACATCCTTCTTTATAGTAAGTCATTTGGCAGTAGATGCATGTGTTCCACGTTTCTCTATCTCCCAAACATTTTAGACTATTTAATATTAGTAAATGATTTAAAATTAACAATTTAATAAGAGGATTATTTTGACACATAAACCATTGCCATTTATCCCCTAATTGCTTATCTTTAATAGCATCTACAATTTTTCTATACTAATGTAAAATTTATTTGTGTTTCCCAAAAGAATATTTGTAACAAATTTTAGCATTTGGAAATGCTTCTTAAATAATAGAATATGCAAGAGCAGGGAAGATATTTATTATTTTTCTGGACAGACAATGATAAACAAATTTAGTTTAAGCTAGGTGGTGGTGCATGCCTTTAATCCCAGCACTTGGGAGTCAGAGGCAGGTGGATTTCAGTGAGTTCAAAGCCAGCCTGGTGTACAAAGTAAGTTCTAGGATGTCTAGGGCTGTTACACAGAGCCACCCTGTCTCAAAAAACCAGAGAGAGAGAGAGAGAGAGAGAGAGAGAGAGAGAGAGAGAGAGAGAGAGAGAGAGGTTTTATAAATGTCTCTTCAATCATTCTCCAATTCCATAAAATTTTATCTATACCTCTACTTAGAAGAAAGTTTGATGGTAAAGGTAGTAGTTTTAATGTATTTTTTTAATAACCTGGAATTTCTAAACAGTTAAAGATTAGAATTGACTTTTTAATGTTTTCTTGTTGAAATAGAATCAAAGTGGCAATAACCTTCACATATTCACTTAGTAAGAGTGGTCTGTTTCTCTGCTCCCAGTCCTCAGCTCAACAGAGGAATTGGCACCAACTTTTATGAGTTGTAGGAACACTGCAGTTTGTGATATTGTTCCTTGTAACACTCCGTACTGCTTTGTACATTGTATTCCTCACCCCACCCTGGAAAAAAGTCAATAGCTCTGCCCCAGATCCTTAGAGTTTTTGGTTAAATAGAAGATTGGATTCGATTGGGCCCACTTTGCTGAGTGATATTGTAGTCTGTGTGATAGGCAAAGAGGATGGAAAAGTGTGAGTTTAATGCTGGTTCAATTAGAAGGCTGAAATAAGCCACTGGTTAGAGCATGAAATTAGGATACTTTCTGTCCAGGAAAGTATTTCAAAGGAATGGATTGTCTGTCTAAAAAAGGCATAAATGTGATTCTGTACATATGACTCTACCCCCCCCCCACACACACAAATATGCTTCCATCTAGATTTTGGTGTTTGTCCATTTTTGTTTGTTTTGTGTTTGTTTTTTGACAGGGTTTCTCTGTGTAATCCTGACTGTGTTGAAATTCATTTTAGGAACCAAGTTGGCCTCAAATTCTCAGAGATCCTCCTGCCTCTGTCTCCTGAGTTCTGGAATTAAAGGTGTGTGCTACCATTGCTCTGTTGGTGTTTGTGCTTTTAATAGTCTGGTTCTAGAAATGCATACTGGCCATTCACCTGGCTTATATTTTTCTGAGCATGGAAAGCAGGAGTCACTTCCCAAGAAAGGAAGGGACTTGCATTTTCTTTAATATCTAAGGTTCATTAATGTTGCTTTGTGGATGGAGAGTGGAGTTGGTTTTGGCTGTGTGCAATGGCATTAAACTCCTCCCCCATGTATTTTCTAAGGTTTACTCATTATAATTGTTAATTGTACTTTTTTAAATTTGCTTTTTACAGCAGGTTGTAAGGCTGGTTCTAAGAGCCAGCAGCAGAGGAGGAAGAGGGTCTCTGGGGTTGGGCTGGCCTGGCTGGGGTTGGTGGAGGGGAGTGCTCTGGAGGGGTGGCACACACACTGCAGTGACAGTCCCTCCCTGGGCTGGTTGAGGCACCTCACTGGTGACGGGTCTGAAAGCACGTGGCTACGTCATGGAAAGCCAGTCTTTTCAATGCAAACTTCAACTCCTCCTCCTCCCTCTAATGCCTGTAACTCACAGCCAAGGCTGGGCGAGGAATACGGAGGAGAGATTTTCCTCATGCTCACGGTGCCTGGAGACTGGAAGGAAGAGTGTAAGGAAGGAGGAAGGAAATTTGTGGCGCTTTCTACCTACTACGAGACTGACAAGGGGAGGGGGCACCTACATTACATCTTCTCTTCGTGATTAAGAACTGCAGTTTCAGTCGGATCCCACGGAGCTCTGGTGATTGCTTATCTAAAAGAAAAAAAAAAAAAAAAGATAGGAAAAAAAATTGATCGCGAGAGAAGGAAGGCTCAGTCTTTGGCGGCCAGACAGATCTCGGAGGTGGTATTGGTGTATGAGTGTGTGTGGTGGTGTTTTGTTTTTTCTTTCTTCTTTCTTTCTTTTTTCCTTTCTTGCTTTTTTTTTTCTTTCCCCCGTTTTTATCCTTCTCTCCTAGGGACTACACAATGGCAGTCTTCTCTCGCTAAGATGAATCTGGCTTGCTTTCTGCAGATCCGCCCATCCTCAGTTCCATTGAGTAAAAGGCTATGATTTTCTCTTTGGGGATCTTTTGTGCATTACTGTTCTTCCTGATTAGTTCTGATCTCGGTTGGGATTTCTTTTCTTTTTTTGGTTTGGCTTCATGTGAAAAAGGATTTTTTTCTATCCAACCTTTTGGTCATGATCCAGTGCTGATCAAGAGGGGATAAATCATTCACCCTGGCCGAGAAAAAACAATCGCTGAGAAGTCTCAAAGAGATATACCACGTGAGGGGAAAAAACTGGGAGAAGATCCGGAATATTAACGTTTTTCCTATGGTAAAACCGGTGCCCCTCTTCAGGAGAACTGATTTCAAGTTATTATTATGCAACCACAAGGGCCTCTTCTTTCTCAGGGTGTCTAAGCTGCTGGGTTGCTTTTCGCCCAAATCAATGTGGTTTCTTTGGAACATTTTCAGCAAAGGAACGCATATGCTGCAGTGTCTTTGTGGCAAGAGTCTTAAGAAAAACAAGAACCCAACTGGTAAGCGAAGCATGCATCATATTCTGATTTTCCTCGTAATACCCTGTCTGTTGCTCACCGAGCTAGGTCTGCAGTTTTGCTATGCAGGAGACCAGGGAACATGCAAGGAACCCGGACAGTGTTGCATACAGAGGTGTTGCATGAATAAACAAGTAGCTACCGCCGATTTGCGTCCTTCTGATCCGAAAACCCTGATCAACAGCTCTTAGCTGTGACACAATCCATCACTAGGAGGGAGGAGGAAACTTTTTTTAAAAACCCCACTAAATTGATTTGATCTCCCGTGTCTGGTGGAATATTGAAGGGCTTATGGCTTATGGCTGTGCCAGGAGAAAGAGCGGAGAGCTGCCTTACTTCTGCTCCTCTGGGGACATAGCTTTAGACTTTCTGATTAGCTTGCACAATATTCGCCACCCCATCACCTTTAGCAAAGTAAAAGCTCCCCCTCCTTCATGGCCCGGCTCCTCCGTCAGCCCCCGCCTCCCTCCCCCGTCTAGCTCTGGGTGCTATTAACTCATTCTCTCGTCTGCCTCTGACACATCCAGCCTGCCAACAGTGAACACTGGAACAGGGCTTGTGCCTGGGGGAATAAGAACGTAGAGGACAACCCCAGTCCCTCTAATATATGCCATTTAAGTCCCTTTCCCTTTCATAAACGGGAGTGGAAACCCTGTGTATGGGTCCCAGGATGACCAGCAGGTCCCTTGCCTTATGCCTTCTGGGGATCACACGCCCCGATTTCAAAGAGCTCCAACCAGAGAACTTGCAGTATATTACATAAGACATGCAAATGCAGTTGATTTGGGGAGTCGGTCCCAGGGGTTTACTTCCCTGTGTCTAGTCTGAGGCATTTGGGAGCAGTGGAGTTGTGGGAGAGCAACCCTCAGGCAGCCACGCTGGAGGGCTGCCTGGCGGTGGCAGCTGCGGCAAAGGAGGCTGGGTGCAGTCTTTCCTCAAATCTCAAATCATTCCTGCTGTCAGCCAGGAGTGTGCAGCAGAAGCAGCTCCTGTTTGGGATAGGGTGTGGGGGAGGGGCCTGGAGCTTTTTTTTTTTTGGCTGTAGTTGTGCTGGAGGGGCGGGGGGATCATCTGTCCTGCAGCGGCAGCGGGATGATTAAGGCTGCTTGAAGCTGGCATTGCGGTGCACTAGATCATGGCTCTCCCGCGACCGCCGTGACATCTGGGGCTTAGCGTCTGCCACGTTGGCACCCATAAGTCCCACTGCTGGGCAGCAAGTGGCTGCTCGCTCCCAGCCTCTGAGCCTAGCAAATGTAGCATCGCCGGAATGACGCGAGCGGAGGGGGTTGCGGCCTTGTGGCTTTAGGGAGAACAGAAGAGCATGTGTGGGCGGGGTTGAAGGCAGTGGGTGTGGAGGTCTAGGACGCTTTGCAGACACCACTTCTGCAGCAAAAGGCAAGGTGCACGTGAGTTGCTAAGAGTGTCCAAAAGAGCAAATGTTTCTGTGCTCAGTCCAGGGGAAGTTACTCCTAGCTGGGGAGCTTAAGAGGATTATGGAGGTTCTGAGAAGAGACAGCTATTGACTTCAACCCACTGCATTGAAATTGGTGCCTCTGTCCTATGGCCTGGTCCTTGAATTCTAGATCCATGCCTTGCTTAACAAGCCTCCTTCATTGTTTCCTGTCCTTTTACCCTCCTGTCCCTTAACTACTCAGCGTTTAGTGACTCTGGAGTGGTGTTCACTTCCTGAGACTTCCCTAAGGGAAGAGCAGACTGGACACCTTCCTTAGTAGAGCATTCCTGATTCAGGCCCAGGGTGTACTCCCCATCCTTGGCATCCAGCCTAACACTACAGATGCCTAGTTCAATTATCCACCTACATCTGCAACACTGGTTCATGCACTGGACATGAAACAGCTGTCTGCAAGACTTCTCAAAGTGGCTATAAACCTTCTTGTGTTGTTCTGTGAAAAGATTTAGCTTTCTTCTGAAAACAGAACACAGTAGAAAGCCTTTCTTTTTTTTGTGACTTGGCCATTCATCTGGGAACTTTGAAGTCATCCTTTCCATAATATTGGTGAGTGGGAAATAATTCAGCAGGAAGAAACAGTAAGCTTGTTCTGAGGCCTTTATGTTTTTATTGCAAATAATTTTACTGGAAATGCCACCCCCCACTACTCAGTTTAAGATCTTTTTATTACACTTCCCCTACCCACTTTCATTTCTCAAGAATAGTTTTCTTTTTTCCAAAGTGTTTTAGAAGGCGTTAAACAAGTGATTATTTATTTTAAGAGCAATTTATTTTGCAGCTTCTATGTGCTAATGTACTTGGGGGGGGGCGGTGAGGTGATGGGTGAACCCATGCCATGTCTGATAACATCACCAGATAATTTAATAGAATAGTTAGGTCTTCGATTGCCAGAGATTTGAGTTCAAATTGGAAGTCAGAGAACTTAGGAGATTTTTAAAAAATGGAGCTTTGAACTTTTTAGCTGGACTCAAACTCATGCCTGCCATGTCTTCTGAATATTGTACCTAGTGATGTCTATTCTCCTGCTAGTAACACAGAGCCTATAATCATTTGTTGTTTTTTGATCCCAATATAGCAATACAACTAAGAATTTAATCTGGTAATTGAAATAAAAAGGGCCTCTTTTTATAAATAAATAAAATCCTCTTGACTGTAAAAACTAAAAGAACAGACTGACTACTACCTATCATATTATCTTAAATCCAAAAGAAGGACATTTAACTGGTTTCAATTGAAATAACTTGACATAATGCTGCCAAGCACAAGGGAATCAGTGCAAAGTATTCAGTATTATTTCAGAGACAGATTTTAGGCTGTTTTTTCTTCCCTATATTTGCAAGTTATGAAATAATTTACTGATAATTTTTGATTCTTGAAATCATCAAGAATTGTGGGGAGCTGGGATAAAGGTTCCCAGGCTAAAGGTTTTAGAGCAAGTTAGTGTAAAAATAAGCAGAAATAGAGGTAAAGATTTACTACTAATGAGAAAATAGCAGCATGTATTTGCACTACATATTCTTTGAAAAAACAACAACTCACAATAGTTTAAAATGTTTGGATGTAAAGTAAAATCTACTAATTTTAGCACAGTACCTAATATTTCAAAGTACAGTGATTGTTAGAGAACATATTCAGATGCACACACATGCTCAGATGTCCTACTTTCTGCTATTTTTCTAGCAGAGCAATAGCTGTGCATTTAGAAGATATATTACCTGCTGTAGCTTCTGCTGTAGGAGTCATGAGAAGTGACTGTACTCTAGGCAAATAATTAAATAGAAATACTAAGTACAAGTTGCTTATTTTGTCTGAAGGGGGTCTGGCATATTTTTTGCACCAATGTAACAGTTTAGAATGACCAGTGTATATAACAGGCTGGTCTAGAAAATAATCTAGGTCATTGCTCTTGAAGCATAGACTGATAAGGTAATAAATATAATTGATAAATACTAAGATTATGTCATTGCTGTCTCTCCAGATTCACAAAACAAGCAAAGCAAATCAGGGACCTTTTCACATGCTGTACAAAATATGCCACACACAAGACCCCCAAGCCTCCTCACCAAGCTAAGACTTTGGAAAACTCAGATTTTAAAATACATTACGATGTGTGAGAATCTTCTTGCATACAGATGTCTGTGGTGGGAGGATACGTAGGAAGCAGATTACCTAGACATAGTTCCACAGAGTGCACTGGGAATATTCCACAGACTCATGGCCTTTGGTGTTCCCATCACGGCTTTTGTAGTGATAAAATGGGGAGATAGGGAAGGAGAAAAGAGTAATTACCCCCTTTCAATTATTCTCACCCTAAAGTCTTATTTAAGAGTTCTCTAGACCTTGGTGAGCCACAAATTGACAAGTGTATAGCAAATGAACACATCAAATTCAGATAGCATGGACAGAAGAAGAAATGGATGGAAAATTCTTGTAATATCCCATGCAGGAAGTTTTAGTTATTGAGATAGTAAAGTAAGCTGTACCGAGCAGTGCTGCTTTGTGAATCAAATGTGGCATTTTTTAACAAGACTTCCAAGTAACGAATTGTTAGAAGAGAGGATTTCTTTCTTTTCTTGAAATTGACATCCAAGTTTACAATTATAAAATCAATGCACAGTAATCTCAACTCACCTTTAACTATGAAGATGATGATGTTCAAACGATGCATCACTCTTCGAATGTGCTAAAGCTAACTCTATACTCTGCTTCACATTTCCCACAATGAACTATTTGTTTACAGTGTTTGATCCCAGCTTTCCACATTTTAGCTAGACACACATTGGGTACTTTTGTGTTTTCATACAAATGATAACAAGGACAACAACCAATGTTTAAGCTCCTTTGCTCATTTTGACATCATGCCTCAGTCACCGTGACTCATACGTTTTCTATCAATACAGTGTGTGTGTGTGTGTGTGTGTGTGTGTGTGTGTGTGTGTGTGTGTATATCAAATTGGGAGCATTGATTCACAATAGTTTCTTATGCTTTAGGGGGAAACAGTTGGGGTACTTGAAGAGTGTGGCAGAAATTTGGCCTCTGTGAAGTTTAAACCAGTCTTTGCATTATGTCTAGAGTTAAATAATGAACAAAACCCTTTGAACTCAACTTAGCCCTATCCTCAAGTCAATGTGGGTCAAGGATAGATCTACTTGCATATATGCCTGCTAGTGCTCAGTCTATACGATGTTCCTGAAGCCTCTGGTTTGTGAGCCATGCATCAGATCCAGGTGTGAATTGACCTGGGCATTGACTGGCTAAACATTTTCTGAGGGAAATGCTCAATTTCTTAAATTATTTCCTGAGATGTAATTCCAGATTTTTGCTATTCTATTTTGGAAGAGTCACTCATCCTGGTGTTTCTCCTGTGTATTTCTCAAGTTGCTACAAAATAATGCTTTTATTTGGTCAAAGATAGGGTGATTAGGGAAGTCAAAAGGAAAAACTCCTAGGATTTTGTTAACATGGAAGTCAAAAGGAAAAACAAGAACACATTTACACAGAGCCTATTAT